GTGAATGGGTGGCCTGTTACGGAGCAGAGTTGGCGGCTGGCTTCTGCCCTCCGGCCCTGGGCTTATTCTAGTAGTAGTAGTAGTAGTAGTACTCCGTACTCCGTAGTAGTACCATCCTACCATCCTCCCCCATTTTGCGATGAACTCGTTGGACGACACCACGTACCGTACAAATACTCCGTACTGGTTGAACAGCCCCGCCGTCACGCTCTGGCTTGTTTCTTCTGTGCGCGAACTTTTGGATCGCACCTGGCACAGCGTCCATGATTTGTCGTTAAAACCCGATTACGGCGACTGCAGACAGTGGATGATCTAGTCCGCATTGTGCTCTCTTTGCAGTGGGATAGAAAAAGGCAAAATATCGTTCATGCCCAGTGTTTCCAACGGTTCAGCCGAACAAGCCTCTTGTCGCAAGGCTCTGCCTAGATAGAATGTGCATAGAGTCATATGGCCATAATACTAGTACCCTGCCTGCTCTGCTACGCTCAACGCAGAGTGGATATGCAGAGTCTAAGACATGTGAACAAAAGGCATCATTCGCCCCATGCCCGCCATGGCGTCAAGGTCGGGGGTTCCTGTCCAAAAAAGCTGAGACTGAATGCGGCGGCTTGATGCAGGCTTTCGTGGGCCTCATCAACAACACTATCATGGCCTGTCACCACGTGCTAACACATTTGACGGACATGACTGCGATGCCCATGTTCTGTGCTAGTTCAGACTTTCCCACGGACTTCTTATCTTGAGCTCCAAGCCTTTTCCTGTCAAGGACCATTTATGCGATGGAATGGTTCGTCCCATCAGGGTGGGGGAAGTGTCCGATCATTGGACTGAGTTGTTCCGAATTCAGCACCTTTTTTGTCTTGGCTTTTGACGACTTGGCTCTGCTCTGCCAGAGGCTGGCTGTGTCTCCTTCCCCATGCCCCTTCCACGACAAATGTCCAAAAGGGGCCATAATGGACAGTGACACATAACGGTGTTGAGTTACACACGAGTATGTCGGGATTTGCCACGGGCTGATGGACCGGAGGAAATCAGTACTAATGAGAATGAGCCCAACCCAGCCCAAGTCGCATGAGTGAGGCAAGAAGCACTGCAGTTCCCATTGGCGAGCATCATGGCGTGGTGAAAGCTGCAAGGTACTCCGTTTGTGCCACAGAGAGTGTGAGGTTGGAGTAATGTCACATTCGCAAGGGGTAGCATGTTGAACAACACGACCCCAAAACAATAGTAGGAATTGGCCAGTCGAGAGAAGATTTTATGAGACTCCAACAGCGAATATGACAGGTTGTACTTTGCAGGTGTCTCCAGGTCGAATAGCAATCAATTATTGCCTCTTATCAATGAAATTGCAGGCCGCTTGGTATTTGTGTATGTGCACATAATGATAACGCCTCCAGGGAAGGCTACTGCCTAAACATTCAACGGTTCAGGTTCAGCACGTCTTGATTCGCACCGGGGCTGTGAAAAATTGGCCGGTTTGTGCTATGACAGGATCTCAAAGTGATCTGTGCTCCCGTCCTTGCCACATCAGTACTCCGTGCCCGTCGATGTTTATCATCGATTTGCCATCTCACTGTCCTGGGGATGATTCGAGTTATTTACTCGAGTGTGGTTTTTCACCAAGTGGCGGTAAACCGAATGGAATCGGCAGCTGAACTAGATTGTCTTGGTCATGTAGAAATACCTGGCGAACTCGCGACCACAGTTTTACCATACTCCTTTCTGTTTCGATGTCTTGGGGATCGACATCTGGCCGGTGCGTACGGCCGACTCAATTGTCTTGGTTGAGGCATAACTACAAATGCGTCGACGCGGGGTACCAGAGTGCGCAGGGCATGCAAAGTTCTGAGGGCGAAGACATGGATGGCCATTGATACTGTTTGGGAGTGCGCAGCGCGGTTCCAGTGAAGAGATATATACCAATGTCAGGTCAGCCACGAGCTGATATAAACAGCCGAAAAACAGAGGCAAGATATGGATATCCAGGAAGTTTTGTGAGGATAAAGAGGCCAAATACTGAGTACTACGATGGCATTGAAGGTGTGCGGAAGTGTGCGGAAGATTGACCGGAGCTCCTTCCTCAAAGCAGTCAACTCCTTACGGAAGTTTAACACAAGTCGTACCTGCCACGTTGAGGTGTCACCTGCTCCCAGAATCCAGTTTGCACTTTGCACGAGTACAGCTCCGCAACCTCTGTCCAGCGAAAAGTGTCTGGTTTGTTCATCCTGCACAGGGCTGCTGGAATATGAGTACTCTCTGCTTTTTATCTACAGAGCGCTAGGTTCCATAGACCCTTGATCCCGGGTGCATTCAAAGCAGTCTGTCTAACGAAGACAACATCGGAAATCCCACATCCCCGCATCCATTCGTCCCGTCTCTCGGCCACGCGCGAAGAATAGGGGTTGGCAACAAGGATCAGCAAGCCAACTCAGGGGTTATGCTGAGCAGCGCGTCCGATGAGAGACATGCTGTCGTGATTGCGGAACCGACTTTACCATCGAATACTACGTACAAGTACATACGGAGGAGTTGCTGTTGCCGTTGCCCAACCGGGAAGATCTCTACCGGTCGGATCATCAGCTCAGGTTATCTATTGAATCGGCCGGCATTTGTGCTGCATGCAAGTGCTCCATGCCTAGCACAGCCCTAGACTGCAAATCTTCCGCCAACCTGGACACATTTAGCCGGTGTATAAAATTCAGAAAGAAGCCATTGTGTTTACCACCTTGCATTCGGTAGAGCGCATGGCAGAGGCAGGACGATGCAATCCCATGAATCTCGAGGAAGAAGAGCTGACACAGTTCAAAGCTAGCTTATCCATGATTATGCTGTTCCGCCATGAGGCTCAAAGGGATACGTATTGATTGTACTACAACCAAGACAAAGAAAGCTGCAAAACCCACTTGGCCCTGGTGAGCCAGACCCGCCAGGTTCCTGCAGTAGTGTCACCAGCCACCGAGCAAGCAAGCCCCTGGCCGTGATAGCGGCTAAGAGGTTGCCCCTGGTCAAACTACTCAGTACCCTGTCAGTTCAGGAACCGGTCTGAGGCATGAGGGCTCCATTGCGCAGCTTGAACATGAGCCGCTTCACTCGCCGCCATGTCCGACCCAAGACGTGTTGTTGAACGCCCTGGGCGTGATACTGGCAACGAGAGGCTGTGGCTTTTAGTATTGCAGAGTGCTTATGTGTCTTCTTTGACGGAACATCACATAAACACACAGTACGGAGCACTCTGCTGTCCACCGGCACAAAGGATACACATTGGGTGTTTCCTTTTTTTTTTTACTTTTTCTGTCCGGGCCGGTCTTCTGGTAGTATTCATAACCCTGGCTCAGTGTCGTCATAGCTTCTTAGCCCGGACTTCAAGCCGGTTTGGCCATTGCCACTGATGGGGGGGAGAATGGTGCCACTCTCTTCCGTCAGTGATACTACACAACGGCGAGACTACTCCGTACGGGAGGCTAACAACGTTTGGCCTCGCTGAACATTCTGGTCGGCCATAACCCGCGCAGCAGCCACTTGGGCCGCATCTAGGCCCAAGATGTTTGTGGCAAGGTGCACGGCGCGGTCAGTGCATATCGACCGCCTGCTCGCCAATACCACCCCACCACCAGAACATCAAGACATCCAGACATTCAGACATCGTCACCCCTGACTAGACCCTGTCTGCACATCGAGCCCGCTCAGCATCCACTCCAGCCAGCCAACCAGTTCGCGATCTGGGGCTCCGCCCAAACGACCACATGCCATCGCGCGTATCGTGTCACGAGCGCTGGTGGCAGCTGGGCTTGGTTTTCTTTACTTTTCTTGTGGGTGGGATTCCTGGCTTAGTGTCTTGTTTAGCTCACATGGAGTTGCACTGCCCATTTTTGAACTGAACCAAAGAATTTATCGAGACTTCTACAAGACGAAGGCGCATCACGTCTGGTCACGAACCATACAACAGCCCGACGACGGACCGGTGTCTTCTCTGGCCGAGTCTAGATTTCTGATGAAAACGGGGTACTAGATGTGAAGTCTGTACTCCGTGGCCATCTGCACGTCCCTGCATTGTCAGCCTGCTACGCGGGTGAGACGCCTCGTGGCAGCTCAAGTCTGAAATAGCCTGGAATCGACAGTCGCCAAGTACTAAAGAGTTTCTTGGGTCCAGAAGTATAGCCTCAAGCTCTACGTCAACCTCGATGCCTTTTGGAGGGAGGGGCACATTCATGCGCTCTCCTTGGCGGGTGCTGAATAGTGTTCTGTAGTTGAGTCTTCCCATGCTTGGAGGATCTTTAGGCTGGATCCATTGATGGACGTCAGGTGCGCACCAGTTGCTTCATGCCCACGGGCCTTCTTGCAGAAACTCAAAGTTGATAAGCCGGGGATCGGCACATCTTTTTCCGCAGTGCGAATAACAGTTTGTGGGTTTGCAAAACGTCTGGTGCCACTGCGGTGCCCCAACGGTGATCAGTGATCAACCTTGATAGGCATGAGGAGCAATGGACCGGCTGTTTGGCGTGACACACAAACCATCTTGTCGGTGTGGCAAGGCGCAATGGCTACCCTACATGACTCAATTGTCAACGACAGATGGAAGATGGAGGCACTCTTTTCACCATATGCTTGCTTAGCCAACAGGGTTTCCGTCTTGACACTTTCCCTTGGAACGGCAATGGTAGCGGCAGGGGAAGTGCGAAATGGAAAGGGTTTACTCCGTACTCGCCCTTTTCCCTCCAACGCAGGGACACACCATACGCCCAGCTACTACTCCGTAGTTACGTCGAAATTTGAACGCCCCGTGTGACGGCTGCCTCGTATAACTGGAATTTCCCACTGTGGTTTCAACCAGTATCCAGTGCCAGGTACTGAGTAGGTATGCATCAGTAAACGCTCCATAGATGAGCCTGCACCTGCATCTGTCCCTGCTATCATCTCCCGCGAGGGACATGTCAGTCTCGGTCAGCCCCTCAGCCCAGCCCGACAGTCGCGAATCGTACCGTCGTGATTTATTCCCCCAATCAAAGCTCCTTCATAACCTCACCCACCGCCCTGGCTGCCATCCTCTTCCTCTGCGCCTCGGGCAACCCCTCCCCCGCGTCCCTTACAGCCTGCAGCTTCCTCATCATGCCCTCCACCTTGTCCACGTCCTCGTGACCGAGTTCGTCCTGAGTATCCCCTTGATTGTCCGCTTCCGCCTTGGACGTTGCACCGGAACCAGCGGTCGGAGCTGAAGGTTCTTGGTCCCCGGGCCTCGCCTCCCAGATGGCCTTTTTCAAGCCTTCGAAATCAGCGCGGTCAAAGCCGAAATCCAGACTCTCGGGATCCAGGTGCCCGCCCTCGCCCTCGCCCGCGTCGGAAGCGTCTTCAAAGTCGCCAAAGTCAGAGGGTGCGTCTTGTGCCCAGTCGTTGGATTCGAGGGCCTCCTTGACGCGGGAGATGCCTGTCTTTTCTTGTCTGGCAGTCAGCTACCTGTGATGCCGCGCGCGTGGTGTGTAATTGTATATGACGCAGGATTTGAATTGAAAAGGTGTTTTTACAGGCCCAACATTGTCAAGGTCTTGTGGACATACCGCCAAACTCGTTCAAATGCAGCTGCTTCCCGCCAATCTGGACAAACTCCAAGCCCGCCTCGGCGCAAAGCTCGTCCCATTCTTGGGCATCGCTGTCCCCAACACCAACAGCCAGCCGGACGCCGTCCCATTCCCAGCCTCCCAGGCCGTTGTTGACGACGTGTCCTACGTGGTGGATGACGTCGCGGACGCGGTCAATGCTCTCAGACGAGGTTGACGGGGGCAGGCTGAAGATGAGGACCAGGCCGCCCAGCACGGCGAGGACCTCGGCCGCTTCATCGGAGAGGAAAGATGCGGACCAGTCGGACGGCGAGGCAATGAGGTCCAGCCATACGGGGACGGTGGCGGTGTAGTATTGCGTCTTGAGGGAGAGGTTGTGTGTTGTGCCGGCGAGGGAAGGGGACGGCGAGCATGGCGACGAGCCGGTGAGGTCTGGAAGGGGGGTGGTTAGTAGGCGTATATCTCATGCGGGATGAGATGAGATGAGATGAGAAGGCGGGACATGGGGTTGGGTGGGCCGCAGCGCACCTTTGATTACCCTGCCCAACTGGTCTGCTTGGGAGTCAAGACTGACGGCCAGTATCCTCCGCGGATGAGCAACGTCCATGGTGATGGTGATGGGTGACGGGGGGTTGAAGTTTGAAGCCGGTCGAGGTTGGCCGTGGATGGTGGGGCTCGAGCCAACGTCATGTGTCTCGCGCGTCCTCGCGGCCAGCCACCACCATGATATGCAGCAGAACAGACGCATCAAGGACTGGAGACAGCGTCGCGACGTCTGCGACTTTGTTGCAGCAAGCGCCATCGCAGGCAAGCCCCAACCTGTCAATCGCAACTATCTGAACCCCTTCATCTCCCTCGCACCCGGCGCCTCATCCGCCATTCCCCTTCCCACGGCGTCGAAAATCCCCGTCACAGAAAGCATATGCACATGATGTACGGAGGGAGTACATACGCCGCCCATGACGCTCGAATCAAGCCGTTTCCAACGTCCGCTTCCTTTGCGCCCCCGGGCACCGCCGTGGTTGGCGTACGGCTCATTCGGTACATCCAACGCACATAATTAGCACTACATGGATAGCGAGAAGTACGACAAGGACATGAAGCGTATGCTGTAGTTTATAGATCATGACACACATCCGTGCATTTATCAAAGGCGGTATCTAGCCGTAGCTTGCTATACCCAGCTCCCCATCTACCTGGTGCGAAGCCAACGCCATGGATCCCAACCGCAGCCTAGAGTCGTACGTGACCCCTTCGCTGCTTCACTCGGGCCCATCCCACGATACTCCCATGCCAAACGTGGCAACCGCGATGCCACGCCGAAACTCGAACGCTCAACAGCTATCCTCCCCCCAGCCAAAAGAGCGGTTCACCACGCCCATGGCCTCAACAGCAGCCGCCACCGCATCGCCCTGCCGGCCGCCTCCCCCCCGCGCCCAAGTCCTCTGCAGGTCGCCCTGGTCCAGCAGGCCCCTCCGCCTCTCCAGCATGGCCCTCTGGATGGTGCCCGCCCAGACGGCGTACCACGCCTCCTCGACACGGACACGGACACGGGCATGGCCATCGCTCATGCGCCACTCGGCCGTGACCGTCTCCCAGCGCCGCGTGGCCAGGAACAGCGCGGGCCACGCGAGCACAAACGCGAGCGAGAAGGTGAACAGCGCGACGACCCAGGGCGTCAGCCGCCACCGGTTGACGCGGCAGTCGCTGTAGACGTGGACGCGGGCCTGCCGCACGGGGAAGCGCACCTCGACGCGCCCGCGGTAGTTGGCCGCGCGCGCGAGGCCCTCGAGCCGGGCGCCCAGCGCGTCCCAGTCGCACCGCGGATCGACCGCCGGGCCTGCGCCGTCCGCGCGTCGCTGTAGAGGAGGTGCGTGAGCTCAATCTCAATGTCGAAGTCGGTCACCGTCTTGGTCTCCCTGCTGCCCCTGCTGTTGCTGTCGTCGTCGCCGCCGCCGCCGCCCGAGCCGCTCTCCGTGTGCGTGCCGACGAGCTTGACAAACGGCCGCGGGGGCACCTGGCACAGTTTGTAAATGTGGCCGGCCAGGAAGTCTGGGTCGCGGTCGAGCCGGCGGTCGAGGAAGTAGGCGCTCGTTTCGTCGCGGCGAAACGGGTGCACCGTCTCAAAGATGTCGCCGTGCGGGAGCCGCGGGAGGAGAGGGTCAAAGGGCGTGAAGGAGTCGGTGTTGTGGTTGAACTCTTCGTGATCCGAGTACAGGGGAGGCAGGTCGTCGTCGTCGTCGTCGTTTGTGAGCTCGGCCGTGTCTTCGTCAAAGTAGCGATGCGGCGGCGGCGGGTGGAGGGTCATGGACGCAGATGCTTCCGTGAGGCACGAGGGTGTTGAGGAGGACGAGGGGTTGGGCGACGCGGCGTCTAAAGGCTTGCCCATGGTGTTGACGCGGGGGCGGACAGACAGACTCGGCTTTTGCTGTCGACACCAAACAGCAGCAGCAGCACGCGGGGAAGCAGACGCAGCGAGGAAACAGAATGAATTAATTCAACGCCGCCGGCCGTGACAAGAAAAGTGGCAGAGACAAACTGACAGCCCAACAAAGGCCGGCAGGAGAATCGATGCGTCCGAGTCGGAGGCGCCAGCCAGGCAGTCGGCCAGCATGAGGCATCTGGTTGGTCCGTCTTTGTCGCACCGCCAGAGATGCCAACCCCGTCCACGTAATCCGCATTTCCCAGACCTGACAGCCCACGAATTCACTGCCTGGCCTAATTACTCCGTACCTCGCATACAGTACACGACCTAATGGAGCAAGTGTTGAGCCGTTGCAATGGCTGGCCACCTGCATGCGTGGCCTTGGCTCAGCCACGCCGTCCGACCTCCCCCAATCCGGAATCATGACACGAGTCCGTCTAGCATCAACATCACCCATCATCAACACTGCGTCTTAAGCTTGATTTAGTATTACGTAATGCACCCAAGAATACTCCGTTACATGCATATGATCCAACAAAAGAAAAAGAAAAAGAAAAGAAAAATCAAGCCCGAGCTGAGCTTCTGAGTGAGCCACGCTAATGGCATGTCCGTCTACCTACAATGTCCCGCGCCTCATTTATTTGCGGCTTCATGCTTCCAGCTTTGTACTTGTGTCGTCGCCTTGGCCTCGTCGCCTACACTCCCTCGCTGGGTATATCCATTCCAGTAGTGCCTCTTTTGCTTTACCTTTTCCTGTACAACATCCAACGCTTAGGCGTCGCCGACGTCCACCAGCCTATCCTCATCCCACTTCCTCTTTGCTGCCTTGACTAAAACGTCAAGCTCACCGCTCATCTCACACATGCTGTAGAACTGCCCTTCCTCGTCGCTAAGTAGCTCCCACGGGTGCCCAAACTGCTTTACTTCACCGTGGTCCAGCACCAGCACCTTGTCATAGTCCACAATCGTCTGCAGACGGTGAGCAATCGTGACGACAGTGCCCGTAAGCTCTCGGATGGTTTCTTGAATTTTGGAGTCGGTGTTGTAGTCAATTGAAGCAGTGGCTTCGTCCATTACGAGCACTGTTGGTTTCTTAAGCATAGCCCGAGCCAAGCACAGCAGTTGTCGCTGGCCTTGTGACAGGTTTGATCCAGACTCGGTAACTGGTGATGAGAGATCCAAGAAGATGTTCTTGTTTGTCATCACAGAAGGTACCGGCGATCGGGTGACTTGAGAATCTTTTGCCACTTGGATAGTTGGCGTCGTCGGGTTGGTGGCTGGCTCGTCTGCTCCAATCAGCTGGACCCGGCGAAGCGCTTCAAACACTTGCTCATCCGTATACTGATCAAAGGGGTCCAAGTTGGTCCGGATTGTGCCCATGAACAAGGTCGGATCCTGGGGCACAATGGTGATGTTCTCTCGCAAATCTCGCAGGCCAATCTTGCCGATATTGATGCCGTCAATGACGATGCGGCCCTTCTCGGCCTCCAGCGCGCGGAATATCGCCAGCGCCAGTGAACTCTTGCCAGCTCCCGTCCGTCCAACAATACCAACCTTCTCCCTGGCGTTGATCTTGAGGGTGATGCCCTTGAGGACCGGGTCCAGATCCTCTCGGTAACGAGTCGTGTAGTCAACAAACTCGACGTTGCCCTTGTCCGGCCATGACTCTGGTGGGCGGTTCTTTTCCACCACCGCCGCCGCCTCCTGATCAAGATCAAGGTACTCCTTAACTCTCTCCATTGAGTTCATGTTCTGTTCGTTCATACCATATAAACGCACTAACCAGAGAACATTCTCCGTAAAATTCATGGCATAGCTCAGTGAGATACCCGCTGCACCCGCATCAATCTTGCCCAGGCTCAGAATGATAAAAACACCAGCAGAGAAGGAAACCAGGTTACCCAGCAGGTCGGCACGGAATGAGAGCCATCTGTTACAGGCCCAGAGGTAGATGAATGGCCTGCTCTGCGTGTTCACCTTGGCCAAGTTGTCGCGAATGAAACGCCTCTCGTCACCATAAGCACGAATGGTTGTCATACCACTCAGAGTCTCGCCAAACTGCTGGAACAGTGGACTTCGCTGCACAGACTCGAGGCGCTTGAGATCACGAGAAGCACGTAGGTAGAAAGTGGCGACAAAGTAGAAGATGCCACCAATAAAGACGGCAGCGATCAAGAAACCGGGAGTGATGACGGCGATCAGGACAACCGTTACTATCAGAGAGAGCGCACATGACATGACACCAATGGCAGTAGCCGCTATTTCCTGGTCGACTGCTTCGAGGTCTTTACTGAAGCGGTTCATCAGTTGACCGAGGGGTGTCACATCAAAGAACTTGAACTTGGCACGAGTCACTGCACCCATGAGCCTATCGTGAAGTTTTCTTGATGCTGTCAGAGACCCGTAGAAGATCCAGACATCCCGCACAAATGCGGCGAAAGAACCGAGTATACCGATAATAGCCAGTCCCGACAGATAGTACGCCACGTTGACCTGAGGGGTGACCAGCGCGGAAAATGACACCTGACCATAGACCTTGCCAGAACTTGATTCGGCAGCAAGAGCGTTGCTGCCAAGACGGGAAATGGATGCCCAGGATCCTTTGGAGAATGCCCCGGAGCCGTATGACTGAGAGAGCGTACCGACTGCAACCATTGACTCTTCTTCGACGTATTGGTTCGCCCATTGTCTGACCCACACATTGGTTGCAACTGTGGCCAATTGCTGAAGATTGAAGACGATGACGGCCAAAACCCAGAACCACCAGGGGCCCATGGCTTGAACATAAACCTTCATCACTGGCCATTTGACAGCACCCGAGGCCTTGCCCTCGTCCATAGCATCAATCTGGGGCTTCTTCGATTTGGCCTTCTTTGAAGCGGCACTACCGTCTTGGGATTCGCCATTGCTGTTGACCATTGTCTCACCGTCGCCAACACTTGACGGAACTCTGGAGGGTACTCGTGATGGACCTTGGGAACCAGCCGAAGACGCAGGGCGGGATTTCTGAATCTCTTCACCCAAGACTCCGGAAGCAATAACCTTTTGCGCCGAGCCCTGAGATATGACACGACCATTGTCAAGATACACTACGTAGTCAGCCGAGGGTACGCATAGGGTCACATTGTGGGTAACCAAAATGCAAGTTCGGTTTGCCATTAGGGGACCACGGATGCAGTTGGTGAAGATCCATTGGGCGGTGTGAGAGTCAACGGCGCTCAGGCAGTCGTCCATGAGAACGTGGGCAGAGTTGGAATACAGAGCCCGAGCCAGAGAAATTCGCTGCTTCTGTCCACCCGAAAGCGTGATGCCTTTTTCTCCAACGAGTGTCTCGTCACCATGGTCCAAAATCTCAAGATCGCGTTCCAAGGCACAGGCGACAATAACATCTCTATATCGTTGTGGGTCGTATGGCGCCGAAAAGAGAATGTTGTCCCGAATGTTGGCATTGACGAGCCACGCAGACTGAGCAACGTAAGCGACAGTATCAGCCAACCGAGTTTCGGGGTCAGGCTTGACATCTTCTCTGCTTCGACCACCAGGGCAAAAAATCTTGCCCTCCATTAATGTCATCTCGCCAAGAAGCCCCATCAACATTGATGATTTTCCACTCCCTGTAGAGCCTGCAATGATATTGAGCTTGCCCATCTCAAAGTCGACATTCAGGTCCATCAATCGGAAGGCTCGCGAACCGTCCTCAGCAACCGTGTCCTTGCCACCCCAAATCAGGGTTGCGTCCTTGAATCCAATATGCTTCACACCTTGTTCGTCCACATTGTCTTGTCCAAGCTGCTCATATTTCTCAGTCTCTTCTTCATTCAAGAACTCTTCAACACGATCAATAGAGACCTTTGCTTCCTGCACATGGGCAAACATATCACCCAATTGGTCGAGGGGAACTCGTAGCAGCATGAAGAGGGAGATGGCGGTGAAGGCAATGGAGGGATACAGAGGTTTCTTTTCAATCAGAGTGTATACAAGGAAAGAGAAGAATGTGATTAGGACTGGAACAGAGTTCCAGATGGCCACAGCGCATGCCCAGAGGGTGAATCGGGATCGTAGCGCATTAAGCTCAGCCTCTCGCTTTTCATCGATGGAGCGCCCAAATCTCTCTTCCCAAGCAAAGTATTTGATGATACGGATATTTTGGAGGACTTCGTTGGTCACATTGATTCGCTTGTCAGTAGCTTTCATAATGTTCTTGGAGGTTATGTTAAAACCCTTTGCCAGGAAATAGTTGACGGGGAGAAGGAAAACCATGACGACCAGACCAGGAATAGCACTGAGTCCCATGACCTGCCAGAGTAAGACGACAGAGATGATAAGCTGCGTTGGAGCCGCAGCGCATAGAAAGTGGAGGTAAGCAGTGATTTCGGCAATCTTGAAGCTATCCACTGACATCAGATTGATGATGGTTCCCAAGTTAGCCTGATCATCGTCACCAGCGGGTTTGCTGTCGTCGACATTGATGCTACCAGCAGACTCTGTGTCGCTCGCCGAGGCATTCTTGTTCTTGTTACGCTTCCGTAGACCAAGGGCGCGTTTGATCTTGGCAATTGTACCCTCACTGTCGGGATCAGCGTCCGTTTTGGTCTTCTTTGAGCTCTCCCCAAGGACCTTGTCTTTGCCGGCCGCAGCTTTTCGACGGAGGGCCTTGGCGTAAATGTCGCCAATAATAATGGCACGAACGCGGATGCAAATCTTCCGACCAGTCCAGAGCGCCATACCATCAGCATAGGATCGGATGGTGTCAAGGATAGGAAGTCCAATGACATAAAGCCAAAGAACGTTAATAGGAGCGCGATCAGGTTCCTCGACATACTCGAGAATGGCCCTCAAGAGGAGCGTTGGCGCAAATGTGAAGAAGCCGGAGACAAAGGCTAGGAAGCATTGGAAGAATAACATGCCCTTGAAGTATTTCAGCATGTGCCATGCCAGAGCACCAGTCTTCTTCAGTTGGCGAT